TCACATTAAAAAATAACTTTTTTATAAAAAGCCTGGTGACCGAATACGGTCACAAGCGAAGTAAGCCAAGAAGAAAAATTAAAAGGGTAAGCATTCAGGTGTCAACTGCACTCTTGTGACTCCGTAAATTCAAAAAACAACAACACATTAATACTACGAAACAGGAATAACAATGATAACAAGTGATGTTAACGGCAAACTATAAGCTCTGTCGGCAAAGCGTGTGACTCGAACTCAACTCTGGAGTATCTGATCTGCCGACAACACCACAAACCAAAATTTTAGACTTGGTATATGGATAAGACGATCGACGTCATCGGAAGGGTCAGAGGCCGGAATGAAAAATTGTCAAAGTGTCTCCCCGCACTCACAATTCACATGGCGGAGGAATAAAACAACCTACAACCCTTCTCGACGTCCTCGTCTGCCATAAAGAATGCAGTGGTCTAAAAACGAGAGTTCGGGAAAACGACCAACGCGACACAGGTACTGAGCTTCAACAGCAACCAATCTATCAGCAAAAAAGCGGTTGCGTAACGACACTGTATCAGCGTGTCAATACGCATTGCAGTACACCGGAAGGCAAAGTTGCTTTACTACAATATATCCGACAAATCCTTAGAGTGAATGGTTACCCGGGCAATTTGGTCAGCCGTTGCATGCATTAGTGTTTGGGGGCACACACAGATAGGCAGGTAGACGTGGTCGTTGTGATAGGTACTGCGGATAGGATGAGGTGTTGCGAGTTTCACTTGCGACCCATCGTGTCGGTAAGGTTCAAGGTGGACGTCAGTCAGTGCGCTGTGATCGTACACTTTCGAAATCGGCGTCTATGTCAACGTAGCGGTTGACCTCAAGAAATTTCCGTGCTTGGTAATTGTTGGCCACCATGAAGATCATTTCAGTACTGTCTTAAATGAAAGGATTTTCACATGCAAAACGTACGCAAACACGACAAGGCGAACCGATGCACAAGCTCCACTATCCCAAACTCCTCTGCCTATTCATCCGTTTGTGCCCCCAAAAACACCATTGCGACCATTTCCTTGTGCATTCATTTCGCCTGACGAGGCGTTGGTTTAACCAGGCAGAAAATGCACGAGTACTACCGGCTTTCCCCCTTCAACGTCAATTATTCCGGATGGATTAACGGCCTGGTAAGCGCGTTATTCTCCGCAAACGCCATGCCCGTAGGTTTTTACTAACCCATGCTGGGCCAAACAGAGGTTTTGCGGTCTGAACCTTATCTTAGAAGTAATTTCTGAACTAAAGAACAGTCACAAGCAAATGCCTAAGACGACGAGGATGAAAAGAATCAGCAGATCAAATAATACTTGGCCGGCGAAACATAATTTGAGTTAGCATGAGCAAAAGGAGAACCTTATCTTCAATACATCGCAAAAACACTGACGAATGAACTTAAAAAGCTTACTCCGAGGAAAATGTTGCGCTGCATATCAAAGCCGGCCGCATAAATACGAGCCTCGTGAGGAGGATTTCGGTCGACATTGATGCGACAGGCAAACCGCGAGACTGTATAACTGGGCGGCTCGCGCGACGCCTTCGGGGCTCGTGAGCGGAAATTGAGGAACCGTCCATTGCTGTTATCCGTAGTACGAGGAGTGACTGCTTGGTCTGGCTGATCATCAAAGTTGGGATTAGAGTCGGCTAATACAAAGTCGATCACCGGGGCAGCACAGCGACCAAGCTAGAGAAGAGGGTGGCGGTAAATCGGATGTCTGGGCAAGCTGCAGCAGTGCATGTTAAGTGGTTCTCTTAAGGCATAGAAAGGCTGAAATACTTCAAACAAGAGGCATTGTATGCGACCCCAAAAATTAAAATTTATGGTAGATTGTGGTTTTAGGAGGAAAAACAAAAATAAGCCGTTTCAAAACCACAATGAACCGCAAAAACTGCACGTACATACATTTAGCGAACATAAGTCGATGTGTGCGTTCTCGGTCTCGATTATAGCCTTAGTCCTGGGTCACAACTTGAAGCACTTGGCTTTAATGCAGGTCAGCGGCATGTTGCTTCACATCTTGTGCATAGAGAAACTCAAGATTCAGGTACTGAGACCTCCAAGCCAAACTCAATGTTCCAGGGGTGTGGATCCGCAGATCCAGGAGATTGCTTCGCCTACAGTCAGAACTGCAGATTAGCTGACAACTATTATTACCCAATCGTGACTGAATAGAGACAACCTCCGACAGATCCAGGATAGTCTGCTAAGTTAGAGAGAGGATATTATACTGCGTGATCTTATCCGGGTACTGTTTATTCGTACCCTGAACCCTCTTATTTGGATGACAGGCGGCAAGCTAAGGCCAGCGGACTGAATATAATCATCTGCACTAAGTAGCTAGGGTTGTCGGAGTCATTCTCTACTGTTACCTGCCGGTCCTAGTGATGCAGACTTGTTGGTCAGTATATTTTTCATTTAGCTTGTAAAGATCCATTTTTTTCGCTTCCCTTCCAGAAGAGACCATCTAGCAAGTCTAAGCGTTTAAGTAAGACATATCAGAGGTAGACCAATAAATACGGGAGAAAATGAGTGACAGAACCATAATTTTACGATGTTTTTACTAATGACCTGACCTGTATATCCTATGAGTTACGTGCATGCGAATGGGCTTTGCGTTAAAATGTCATGATCCGCGGTCGTCCCAGTCTCCCAATTATTCCCTAACCCCTCGAATAAATAAATAAAAAATGCCATGGAGGCTTCACCACATTAATTAGTGCGCATGCTAATTGTGCACGACGGGAGAGGTTAATCAGATTCCGAAACAATGAACTGCACCTTTAAGTCTGACGAGGCCGACAAGCGTTTACAACTGCGTGAACCGTGAAATGATCGAGTCTTGATTCTCTGGCCCGCAGTCGACTAAAACGCGCAGTAATGGAGTACGAGGCAAGAGTTCATGAATTCTGAACTGCGCTGGCAAGTACAGTATGTGACCTACCTCATGTAGCGTGATGACGAGGATTGAGACAACTATTTTGGGGCAGTTGAATACTGCAAATTTTAGTTATTTGCCTAACCAATTCGGGAACATGTTTTTTTTGCGTGCAAAATACGTTTATGAAGCAGTTATATCAGTCAAAATGTTTGCAAATTCAGGTGTAAATCTATGTTACCTTGTATTCCGACGGTCACTTATGCCAATAGCTACCTTAGACCAAGTTTGCGCCTCCATGTGTACTTTTCTATGTGAGGAGAGGCATTTAAACTCGAGAGTGTTATTAAATGGAACTTTTCGCATTTTTCTTCACATAAATCAGCTGAAGCGAGATGCAAGCAGGCAGGTTTTGTAAAATTAAGACTTGCGAATCTGTGCAATTTCATTCCCTAAAAGGCGGTAATTACGTCTACTAGTAGTAATCCTTTGTTTAACAATCCCGAACTGTTTGGGCCTTTTGCGAATACTGTAATATTTTACTGTAAATCGGCACTCCAAAAAGATTTAATACAGTGGACGCATGTGATAAGATACTTTTTGTATTAGCTAGTTTTTGCTAACGCTAACGGTTGGGTCAAGGACACGTGTGCCATCAGCTGAGATTGGATATGTCGCCATCGTTCGCAGGCCAGAAAATGTTCCCGAATAGCGGTGAGTGGGCTAACAATACTCATCCGACTGTTTATTATTAAAACTTTTAAACAAGTAGGCTGAGCACCAGCATGAGATCGCGTCCAAAGAAGTTAAAAGTTTCACCTTGAGATTACGCAGTCAGCAAAAATCGCTATCACTACGCTTGCAAATAAGAACATACTTTTTCCTTGATTTATTGGGCACTAACGTTTGTACTACACATGGCAAAGTACTAAGTTCTGTGCCACGCAGGAAGCAGGGCAGCCGAGATCGGTAATTTGCTTGACATAGACTGGAAGGTCAGAAGGGGCAGTCAAGACCAAACACTAGACATTGACGGTTCACATAAGAACCATTAAGACACTCTTCGCCTTTAGGCCACATAGAGAGAGGGTTGAGGCGACGAATTAGTTGATGACGAGGAAGAGTCAATTTTGGTGTGTGAAAATTCGAGCCCCCAGTATGCCTAGTGCAGACTCCGGCAACACCTAAGTTGCCCGAGGTAATTAAATATCCCTAGCCCCAGGATTATTTCTTACGGGAGTGATGTTAATATAAGTTTTATGGTTAGGTCTTACCACAGGAAAAGCGTATAAAGGCAGAAGATAATAGGAAATACTTATTTAAATAAGCAAATATTTGCGCGCGATAATTAAAAACGACGAATATAGCCCATAAGAAACAAGAACTGCGCAAAGGTACTTGCAAATAAGTTACAATTTAGAGGTTTAAATAAAACCATGAAATATTGGCTTTTCCCTCATTTTTTAAAACTCATTTCAAAATGAAACTAATAAAACAAATAATAAACTGAGACTAATAAAACTAAAAGCAACAACAGGAAGCTAAAGATTTCCTAATTTTGGGTTGCAGCAGTAAAAAGAACTACGCCTACTAAGTTACATATAGTAGGAATATAAGTATACATATTGCTGGACCACGGGCAACTTTATTGTCACCCAGACTCCTTATCCTAGTGCGCATAAAAAAGGCTGTATTCACCTGGAATTGGTCTATGTTCGGATTTTGCAGATATTCCACCACCACTGTACTGGATCGACCCACAGTGTAGGAGATGCAGTGACGCGAAGTGCTGCGAACAGCCTGTAAAGGGGAAAAATGTGTCATTGTTAAGCAGTCGGGATTTTTTCAAAAATAAAAGGCGAAAATTCCGAGCAATAAATAAAAACCGACAGTTGGCAATTCCTGTTAACCGCTTTCACGGTGACTTGCGTGTGAAGTAAATTATATTGAAAGTGGACTTGTGCTGCATCTACCGCACTTTAGCCCCCTCCCTCACCTGTCATGCCCACGTCAATAAGAGCGGAGGCGGGAGATGACGCAAGTGGTTTGCACTGCCAACGCCCCTCCTAGACGAGCAGCCACGCCTGGCTGGAATCCCACGGAGTGAGAGCGTCATAAAGGACACAGCAAGAAAGAGCTATCGCAGCCTGACTCATAGTCTGCCCGTCAGCCACTCTACACAAGCACACACTCGGCTGACTGTGTGGTCCGAGTTATCGCGTCAGTTGGCAATTGTCTAATCCACGGCTTTTAACGCATTTCGCTGGCATGAAGCGCGTCAAAGTGTTTATAGTTGGAGAAATGCGCTGAGGCATTGACCTCACTCTATATTCCTATTCCCAGGCTGCAGCCACTATTCGAGCTGGTCAGCTGATTGGTAGGGGGATGAGCGCAGCTGCTGACATTCCCATTGACCTAGTCTGCACTTATTACCTGCACGACCTGGCCCTCCAAACACAGGCACTAGGATTTCACAGGAAATTTCTATGCAATTACCTGCGCGTCGCGTTTTTCTACCATTCGGTTATGTATTTCTGCCCAGCGACTTCTGGCGGGGCTCAAGATTGAGCCCAAAGGTACAGTGGACCGAGTGTGTCCCGCACCACGATAAATGAGCATACCGCTATCACTGTTAATAAACCCCATTGCAAGTTACACAACAACGATTGGGACGTTGGGCGTCTAGACAACAGGTCGCGGGTTCGAGCCTTAGGCGTTGCAACATTCTGGATGGAACACGGCTGGCTGATGACGGTTAATAAGCCAGAAATGATCATTCCAGTCTCCCTGATCTTTTTCGGTTGTATTGCTGTCTAGTATATATTAGCCGCTGAGCGGCTGCTATCGGGGCCCGAGATTGAGTCACAAGGCACAACGGGATGACTGTGCCCCGTAACGCGATCGGTGTGTTCCATGGCGGTCAGACTGGCATGCCAAACTACACAGCGCTTCTGTGACTGGCACATTTGATATTTCCAAGCAAGCAGAACAGCAGTTATCTTCGGCACGTACCTGAATATACACTAGGAGATAGAAAGAGCGTGCGGAGTTAGGCGACGCGTTGCAAAATTCAGTTGCGAAAAACATTTAATGCTGTAGTTACCGAATAGTCCCTCAGGGAAAACATCGTCTGTCCTCCTGTACTGAAAACACCAACAATATTTATACTGCCAGTACAGCCATATTTGTTTAATATAGCTTAGATAAAATTGGGAAACGTTTTTGTTAGATCAATTCGTTGTGATCTTTAAGAAAGAAAACCCAGAAAATGTAGCATGCACTTGACTGTATAAATGTTCTTATTCACTTCGGCCTTAAGCCTTTAAACAAGTGAATGTTTTGACATTAACACTTATCAACAAACGGACAAGCAGGCAAGCCGGCAGGCTTTTCAAAAATCAAGGATTGTGTATACCTCTAAGGGCAAAATTCATCCGCAAGGCGGCGACTGCACACATACTACATCTGCACAGTGACTGTGTATCAACCGGTGCAAACTGTCGCTGTCAGTGGCCACCAATTTTCTATTAAAGTTCTGATTTCCAATTCTTAATTTTCGGTCCACGAACGGAGATATAGACCCGAGTCCAAAATTAACTCGGCCTTCTACAGAGAATAGGCTTCTGGGTGGGATAGTAGTGACGTATGCGGCCATTTCAGCCTAGAGATGTCGAAAGCCGTCGCAATGACTACATTCCGTTACTATGTAGAGACTTCAGCAGTTGAAAATGGTGCACACCTGTAAATTACGTTCATGGGGTATGAAGGTTGGCTCTCGCAGACAAAGAGAGCAAAGAACTACCAGCCATAAAGGCACCAGGACATTTTCCAATTGCCTCGAAATGGAGCGGAACTCTTTGGAAGCTGTTGTTTACAGCACAAAGCATAGTGGTATGTCGTGCAAATTCGAGCTGAACCCAAAAAATGCAGACGGATGCGGAAAACTAAGGAGAAATAACAAGATTGCAAGCCAGGGATACGAGAGAATGATCCTACCTTCTTGGGTACTTTCGAATCTGCTGTAACAATGAAAGGCACCTTAAGTGCAGGACTACAGACTAACAACAGCGCATACCCAATGCTGAAGAAAACAAGCAAGGTTGATCACCTCCCAGTTTTGCGTAAGTGGATCGTACGTACCCTAAAGCCTAGCCCAAATGGAGCAACCGCTTGCGCTGCTTAACGCATCGAACGTTACATTTGGATCTATTCTTGGCGGAGCCGTTACAACTAAATAAATATATCTGGAGCAGAAATATATATATATATATGAATGGTTGAGAAGAGACTCTTCGACCCTCTCCGAACACACACACTGAGCATCGAAAAATTGCACTCGTTACCAGAACATAATCCAATGAAGATGACCATCATTCATTAAAACGAACGTACATCATGCAAATTTGTGATATTACTTTTGTCGAGAAAGGAACTGAATGAGACGTCCAAGAAAACATTTTATAATAAGCACTCAATAAGTAACTAGCTGCTGTTCTATGCACAAAAGGTTTGACGTGCTTTCGTAATGCGCGTCAACGCCAAGTTTGAAGAAAGCTATATGTAGTGTTTTAAGTTAGCTGGTACGCTCAGGTCCATGAAAAACATATACATAATCCAGAGAACAACGTACTGCTGATGTTTTGGAATTAGGAACGATTGTAACCGGGCCCGGGTCGACCCCATTAGCGATTTTTCTTTGGTAAAGTGTGAGCTTAGAAAGGGCCCGGGGGTTGCAGCACCTTGGTCGGACATCTCCGTTTGTCCTTAGAAGAAGAAAAATAAAATAAAATCTTACAACCCAAAAAATGGAAACGCAGAAGACAACACCAGGACCTTGTAACCTGAATGCAAACAATGTTTTCAACTCAATGGGACGGGCACTGGGAAAAATATACACTAAAAATGTCTTTGTATAGCTGTAAAAGGGAGAGAAAAATAATGGAAGAGAAGCGATGGCTCTGGTTACAAAGAGGAGGAAGTTTTATGCATCTGAAAATGTGTGATCAAGGCCATGTTAGGAATGACAAGGGCTGATAAGGGGACGGGGAAAAGGTAATCTACACTGAAAGGGAAATACGTTAAGAATGTCAGACAGTCAAGAACTGGCGGAGCATAATACACCAGTCATAATACACCAGTTAGCTAACTATTTTCAATAAATTAAATTAAAGTGAAAAAATTGAAATACAAGCTCAACCTGTACACGGTCAACGATTAACCGGCTAATCGTCGATAATTATCGATAACCAGGGTTGAAGACACAAAGATTCGCAAAATATATTCAATCGAGCATGCCATAATTGTCGTAACAAATAAAAAATATTATAAAAATATATGGGAAGCAAAAAATTAGCGTACCCCAAAAGGATTATCTGACCGTACACGACCCGATCGTCGTGAGGCATTTTATTGAATGTGGCCGCATGGGCTCACACGCCTCGTACCATACAGTTTTGTTGGTTTTTTGGTTGCCGTTCTTGAAGATGATTGGTTTAATTTTTAGCTTAATGATTGGTGGGTAAAATCTGCAATTTTCGCTTACTGATTAGTGGAATAACTGTCCAATTTTCGTCTGCGCACAACGTAAATACTTTCACATAAGGTATCATGGCGTACATTAACTATGACAAATTTTCGAAGATAGCATTATTTATTTATCACTTATTTAATTAACAACGCATTAACTGCACGGCTAGGGTAAGGGTTAAACTAGAATTAGGGTAAGAATTAGGGTTAGTTTTAGGGGTTTGGTTAGTTTAAGGGTAAGGGTTAGGGTAAGGGTTAAGGTTAGTTTTAGGGTAAGGGTTAGCTTGAGTTGTAGGCTTAGGGGTTAATTTTAGGGTTAGGTTTAGTTTTAAGGTTTGTAGAGGCTGGATAACTACAAATATACAAAACGTCTTAGCAAACACGCAATGGAAAGCTTTTGAGGGTAGACTAACTGCTAATAAGGGATTTACCAGACTATTCTAGTGGAAAACTCGTAAAATCCGGA